TGTGTCCGTCCCATCAGGGCTGGCCTACTGTCGTCACCTGTCCACCGTGCGGACTCACCTGTCAGCTCTGGTCAACCACAACATCGTCGCTCCAGACAGACCCTGCGAGGCGTCCGGGGGCCTCAGCAAGGAGGTGTGGAGCAAGTACCAGAAAGACTGCAAGGTGGGAAAGACTCAATTAAATATAGATCGAGCTCTGGCAGAGAGCTTCAGAAAATACGACAACAAAAACAAGAATCTTCATCTTCTTCCTGCACCTGCAGGCCAGTGAATTTCAGCCAAGTCATCATTGAGTCATTGGTATGGATCAAGCCCCGGAGATAAGTCATGGTGATGTTGTGCTGTGCAAGCCTCATCTACAGTAATATATTTATAAAGTGAGATAAGCTTCACTTAAATCATTCCGTCCTCCCCTCGTATATTAAAAAGTGGATCCTCCTTTCCTGTATATTAGTTATAAGTCAGGACTCGCGTGCTGCTTCTTCACTCTAATGGAGATTTAATGAGTTTCGTTCCTCGTTACAGAGCGCAGTGTGATACCATCGTGGCTATTAAAGCAGCCGCTGTGATCTTTCAACGACTCCAACAAAAGCCATCGCTGCTAATTTGCACTCTATTCATATCTGTGCGCTTTATCTTTCTGCGCTCGTTTGTGTCTTTTCCCTCTCAACAGGTCACAATCACTCTTCCTCTCCTTCCATTATTGACGCACTTCCTCTTCCCTCTTTGTTCCTCTCAGCACTCACTTCTTCTTCTTCTTCTTCTGGTCTGTGCGTAGAACTATAAGGAGCTGGAGCTGCTTAGGCTGGTTTATTATGGCGGCGTGCAGCATGACATCAGGAAGGAGGTGTGGCCTTTCCTGCTGGGACACTATAAGTTTGGGATGGGCAAAAAGGACACGAGCCAGGTACAACTAACGCCATCTCTTCATGTGTCTCTTCATTTGAAAAAGAAAAAGCAATGTGTGATTTTTATTTACTTTTTCTGTGTGAAGATTGACGCAAAGATCAGCGAGCGCTACCAGCAGGTGATGCGTGAGTGGAAGGCCTGCGAGGTGATCGTCAAGCAGAGGGAGAAGGAGATGCAGTCGGCCATCTTTGCCAAGCTGTCGTCGGGCAGCAGCATCGACAGCCACGTCCTGCGACTCGTCCACAGAGACTCCACGCTCAGCAACGAGGTGAAGAACTAAAGCAAGATAAAGAATGTTTGTTACGCAGCCAAACAAAACCAACCGATAACCCGTAAAACATCTGAGCAACTGGAACACTTAAAGAGGAACGCCATCAAATGGTCTTCTGAGGCTCTCTGTGCATTCTTCTGGTCTTAAAAAGACAGATTACTATACGTTTATTTGTGTCTGGTTTAAAAAGCGTGGGAATAAATGTGAGCAATCAGATTCACCAACAGAAATAAATCGTATTGTGTTGACAACCTCGGTGGTGAAATCATAGCGATCGACATGCTGTGATTTGCTGTCTGATCCAGCAGCCTGCGTCACTGCCCTCTCTTCTCACGTCTCTCTCTTCTGCAGGTGTTCATGTCTGTGGATGAGCCGGATGCAGGGAGCCAGGAGACCCCCAACGGAGAGGACGGCACCCCCACCATGACCGCCCTGGTTCCCCCCGCAGCCCAGCCTCCGGAGGAGCGCCCTCTGGTGGAGTTCGACTCCCCCGACTCGGGTCTCCCCTCCTCCAGGAACTACTCGGTGACCTCTGCTCATTCCCAGATCCTGTCCAGCATCGACGACGGTCAGAGCACGGAGGAGGAAGGGGGGGCCGGGGAGGAGGGCAGGACTTCAGGTGTGCTGGGGGGCTGCATGGGTCCTCTCACTGAGGACAGGCTGTGCAGTCAGCTGGACAAACTGGTGACCAGCGGAGCAGCTACAGAGGCGATATCGCCGTCGCTCTCCTCATATACGGTGTGTATAGTGTTTGAATAGGTCTGTTCACATCACCATTTATCGATCTGTAGTCTGCAACTAGCGGGCGACATCGTGACTTAAAGGCCAAAGAAAGCTGTGATTTAAACCTGCTAATGTTGACAACTCTGCTTTCTGTATGCAGATCGAGCTGCTGGACACGGTCGCCCTCAACCTCCACAGGATAGACAAAGACGTGCAGCGCTGCGACCGCAACTATTACTACTTCACCACGGCCAACCTGGAGAAGCTACGCAACATCATGTGCAGGTTTGTAGAAGAAGGAGATCCTTCAATTAAAACTGCTAAAGGTGTGTGTGTGTGTATATATATATATATATATACATATATATATATATACATATACATACAGACTTTGAGTGAGATTTGTTGGCTCACGTTTGTCGTGCGTCTCCTCCTCGTCTGCAGCTATGTGTGGGAGCATTTAGAGATCGGCTACGTTCAGGGCATGTGTGACCTGCTCGCTCCGCTCATGGTCATCCTGGATGACGGTGAGAACAAAGAATCTTCTTAATATCTCTGTAATTATTGTTGTAAAGGAGCTGCTACAGAATTGAAACTAAAATGACTCATTTATTCAAACTTTTAACTGGTCGTGAATTAGTCTCAGATTAATCCTGATCCTCAATTTCAAATATTATTTGTTGCTGAAAAACAGAAAGAAATGTGAGCGAGTTTGCGTGCTGTCCGGGCTACATGAGCCTTTGTTCTTCCTCTGTGTCAGAGTGTTTGGCCTACAGCTGCTTCACTCAGCTCATGAAGAGGATGAATCAGAACTTCCCTAATGGTCGAGCCATGGACACGCACTTTGCCAACATGAGGTCACTGATCCAGGTGACCGATCACTCTTACTGTGTGTCTGTGTGTGTGTGTGTCTGTCTGTCTGTGTGTCTGTCTGTCTGTCTGTCTGTCTGTCTGTCTGTGTGTGTCTGTTTCTGTGTGTGTCTGTCTGTCTGTCTGTCTGTCTGTATGTGTCTCTGTGTGTGTGTCGCTGTGTGTGTGTCTGTGTGTGTGTGTGTGTGT